ATCAAGAGCAGCCAACCTTGGCAATCATGTCAAGCTGGAGAAGATGCAAGAATATGATCACAGAAAATTTGCAGAAGTCACTTGTAAAGATTAAGGACGTATTTTTTTAATCTTAATAACTTTAACCATTGGAAATTGACTTAATATCCAAGCTGTTATGCTAATTTCTATACAAAATATTTTCTGATGAAATTGGATTTTCTCTTGTAAGCTAGTCTTCATGACTTTATAACTGATTTGATCTTAATTTGTTTTTCAAAAGGTAAGAAACAATGTGCACACTTTGAGAGCCCCTGATTAATTTGGTCAGTATGATTTAGAAACACAAGGTTTTATTGCCCAGGATTTACCAAGATAAACAAATTAATTTCAGCACTCTCACTTTGCTTCTGGTAAATTGGCCCCAAATAAATGAAAAATAAACCCGAAATATAGACATAAATCATCTGGTATTTTCCTTTTGAGCATAGTGCGTAGGAGAGAGAAGTGTACTATTAACTTCAGACCCAAATGGTAGAATTACTATTTTCCACAATTTACCCCTTGTTTAATATCAGACTGGACCATGTGCCAAATTAAGTGCCAAAATACATAGCTCTGTTTACTACTTTCTGCCTTTCCAGCTATACCAGGGCTTTGCTGAAAGTTGTTGACACTAAAAAGAACAAGTGTACCTTAAGAGGGTGACCACTTCATTGCTCAAGCATCAGCTCCACAGTGGCTGCACTATGGTGGAATCAATGGTCCGGAATCTGGTCTTCAGTTTTACATGCCTGGATACGTGATGGTCTCTGTGCATGCAGAAAAGGCAGTCTCAGATGGAATGACATACGTTCACTAACCACATTCATAAATGGCTGAAGTATAATTCTGAAAACAAATTTGATTATTTTCAGCAAGAAATAAAATTGACAAGTCAACCAGATAGTCTTGTTGATTTGAAAATATATTCCAATCTGTGTGAACAGGTTGGTTTAGGAGTGTGGAAATGGAGCAAAGTTGGTTGAATTTTCTTAAAGCTTAATGTAATTCAACTTTGATACCTCGATATACTCGTCTTCTCTAAGGATGAGAAAATTCAGAATATTTGTCTGCCCAGAGCAGTGGCTCCCCTGGATGGTCCTGGAAACACACTGTCCAATTCTTAGTTTTGGCTTCTATTCCATTTTTAATCCACTCTGTTCATGAAATCTTTATATAATTTATGGTACAGATTATTTTATTTCATCTGCTGACAGTCTTACCCTAGCATTGCGAATTAGTCAATTTCCAAATTCTCTTCTCCATTCTGTTTTAAAGCATTTTTAAGATGGATAGTTTCTGCAGATAGTTAATATCAGCCACTCTGTGCTGTTTATTCCTTTAATTTACAAAGGTCAATATTATGTCCCTGTTATGTGACCATTTTACAGTAATACCAGGATGCTCTGCTGTGCTAACCATAATGGTACTCCCAAGAGCTGTGTCCTGGGCAGTATACAAAGTATTGTTGCATTTAGACACTTCTGCTCCAGGGTGGTAACTGTGAATGAGATAAAAGAAAAGGAGCTGAAAGACTCCAAAAAATTAGTATTGTGCATGAAAACAGACTAATTATTTTTCAAAGCAGTAATGAAAGCCACTTTCTCCTCCCTCTTTTTCTTGCTCTTGACTTCACAAGTAGTAAAATGAATACTGAACTCTGTAGAGACACAAAGTAGAGTTCAATCATTCTGCAAAGGGCACCAATTACTAGGTAGGTATATCAGGAAGGTTTCCGATTCCCTAAGGCAGATGTGTTGAGTGAATTTAGTCTGTTTTTCCCAGACTTGAAGAATACAGACTCTTTTTTTATGACTTCATTTTGTGATGTTAGTCAAATTGGGGCCTAGAGGCAAGCAATAGCCCATAAAGGCCCATTCTAGTGCTCCAATTCAATCATTAGAAGAGAGATGTGGGTGACTCCTAAGTTTGGGAAAACCACACTTAAAATATTCCCCATAAGGCTGATCTTATAGTATTTCAAAGCTTTCTTTTTAAATATATTCCATAGGCTTTTCAATCATTGTTTTTACAGTGCTATTTATAATGTGCACATGTGAAAACAAGCATAAGTACATTTGAATTATAAGCCCTAGTGGATAGGATGAGGCACTAATCCTAGCACACTTTGACAGTGTTAGCAAGGCCAAGAGCCTGGGTGAAGGGCCCCTGTTCTCTGCCACTATTGTCATCCTCAAAACCTTAAAAATCATCTCTAAACTCTGTCATTTGGGAAAGGGTGATCTGACCTTTGGGAAAGGGTGGTGCAATAGAGTCATCCAGAAAGTTGAAGAATTCTTCTTATAATCTAAAAATACAGGTACAAGATCTAAACAAATTTTTAAAAAGGAAATTTGTCTAGAGTACCATGAATTGTCTAAAAAATAAGTAATAAAATCGTCAGAGGTGTTTATAGTAATTATTTTAAATGAATACACTAAAACCTTTTTTTCTTTCTGTAAATCTATGGCCCTGAAAGATATGTCTTAAGGGCATCATTTTCATGATATCAAGAGTGGAAAAGGTTGAAGGTTATCACCCAAAGCCAGAGTCTCTAGCCTGCCGTAAGGTGGTGATGGATGAGGTTGTCAGATAAGGTAGCAAATTACTGGGCACATTGTTGAATTTTGCTTTCTATGGTGATCTTTTGCGTTTTGACAAATCTTCTCTGTTTTAAGATGATTTAAACATACAGTTATGAAATAGCTCAGAGCTTTTCAATCAAAGTTGAAAATTGTCTCTGCTGCCGGGAGTACAAGTATGTTGCCGTGAACATATACATAAATAAATGGGAAAATTATGTACATGATTGAAAACACTTGCTTTCTGGCAATCTCTTCTGGAGAAAGTAGAAGAGTGGAGAGGAGAGAAAGGTGGGAAGCTGAATTCTTGTCCAAATGTCACCCTTCTCTTACTTGATAATCTTCTGAGCCTGTTCATTCTGTCTGAGTTTCTCATCACTGGAAATGAAAGTCAGCAGTGGTTGACATCTACCAAAAATAGTAGGACACCAAATCTCAGCCTTGTTAAGCTCCTTTAGAGTAGCCTCAGCTCTCTGCTGTGATGTGATGGTGAAAAGCCTGGGCTCTGGAATAATGAATTACAGTTTCACCACTAGTTATAAGACCTTGGCCGTATTATTTAAACTTTGGCAACTTGGCTTCCTCAAAATGGAGACATGGGTGATATCAACCCAAGGAGTTGTAAGGGATAAAATGAGATAATTCATACAAAGTTCTTTACATGGTACAGACTTGGGAAGTACTCCATAAATGATAGCTTATATTATTTTTTGACTTCCAAGGATTTCTTCTGAGTTCGTTGTTTCTGTATGTTTGTCTACTTGAGCATGTATACTAGTTCCTAGGGCTCCTGGTACAAAGTGCTACCAACTCAGCAGCTTAAAATGACAGAAGTTTCTTATCTCACAGTTCTGAAAACTAGAAGATCAAAATCAAGGTGTTGGCAAGGCCATGCTGCTCCCTCTGAAAGCTGTAGGGGAAGGATCTCTCCTCGCATCTTTCCGATTCTGGTAGCCCTAGACATTCCTTGGCAGTGATAGCGTCATCCCAGTCTCTGCCTTCATCTTCACATGGGCTTCTCCCTGTGTCTCTTCACATTATCCCTTTATGCATGTCTGTGTCCAATTTTCCCTTTTTATAAGAACACTAGTCAAGTTTGATTAAGGCCCACTCTAATGATTTCATTTTAACTTGATCACCTCTGTAAAGACCCTTCTTCCCTAATAAGATTACATTTTGGGGTATTGAGGGTTATAACTTCAACATACTTTTCGGGGGAAGACACAATTCAAACCATAACAGCATGATTCTGTATCTTTCTCCTCACTTCAGTGTACTTTTCCTTCCCCAATGGAGAAGTGTCATATAATATGGCACCAGATTAGGAGTTTTTAGGTGTAAATTTAGCTTTACCATTAACTATCTACATTGAAAGAAATCACTCAAATTCTGCAAGCCTGGGTTATTTCACTATAAAATAAAAGGACTGGGCTAGATAATCGCATGTCTTCCAGCTCCAGAAGATCATGATTATAATGTGTGACTCTCTTTCTCTCAACTACAGTGTGTGTCTCAACCCTCCATGATGCTGTGTGCATCTTGATGTCCCTGTAACTAATAATAAAGGTTCTGATATATCTCATGACATTTTCAATTTTCTCAATATATACTAGGATTAAAATTCTTCTGTCTGTAATGCTATTTAGCGGGGTCTTTAGCAAATGAAAGCTATGTTCGATTTAGATTATAAAGATATCTAAATAGTGCCAGTGAGCCTTTTTCATGAATTTTTATTTCTTTTTGGAATTTTCTAAAATTCAAAAATGGACTTCTTTTTTTTTTTTTTTTTTTGGTGAGGAAGATTACTCTGTGCTAACGTCTGTGCCAATCTTCCTCTATTTTGCATCTGTGTTGCTGCCACAGCATGGCTTGACAAGTGTTGTAGGTCAGCACCTGGGATCCAAACCCGTGAACTCAGGCCACCAAAGCAGAGCATACCAGACTACTACTCCATGGGAGTAGCCCCTCTAAAATTCAAAAATATACATTTTTTTTCACGCTAATCACCTTCCATATCAAAATATGGGTTTGTAGTATGTGTTTTTTCTGATTATAGTATGATGCAACTCATGTGAAAATCATAAAACCAAAACTTAAGGGATTAGGGGAAATAAGAAATTAAATTCTGCCAGTGATTCACAGACTATTGACAACTTTTGTAAAAGTTTGCTTAGACTACCATTCTAGAAGGACTTAAAAGTCTACACCACAGCTAGAAGAAAATTTAAGAAAGGAAATAGAAATCTGTACTAACTCTGGGATATAACATTTTCAGTGTCTCCCAGCCAAAAAGGGTTGACCGTAGATTCAAGATCATCAAGTGGCATTTTCTAATCCTTCGCCTCGTCTGAAAACTGCTGCCCTAGGTGTTCACTGAATTGTTTCTTTCTCTTTCAGCTTCCTCCATTCTCAAAAGGGAGAAGCGGCTGAGGACGAAGAATGTGCATTTTAGTTGTGTCACCGTGTACTACTTTACCCGGAGGCAAGGCTTCACCAGCGTGCCCAGTCAAGGGGGCAGCACCCTGGGCATGTCCAGCCGTCATAACAGCGTGCGCCAGTACACTCTTGGCGAATTTGCGAGAGAGCAGGAGAGGCTCCACCGGGAGATGTTGAGAGAACACCTCAGGGAGGAAAAACTGAACTCTTTAAAACTAAAGGTAAAAAACAGTAGAAACTCGCTTTTTGCAAAACCTCATATTCTTACCTCAATGTGGTTGCGTTACCCATTTTCATATTTATATTCATAGGCCAAACTGGGCATTTCACACAAGAGACTGCCTGCTGAGGCTTTTTTTTTAAAGCAAAACCATTATAGTCTCTTCACTGAAAGCAATGTGGAAAGCTTACCTGGCATTGTTTATTTATTAATTCTATAAATATTTATTATTGACTGCTGCTAGATTGTAGACCCTGTGTTTGGACTGGGGCTCACTGGTACCAAAAAATGATGTGGTCCCTTCTTCCCTGGGACTTATATGTTAATAGGAAAGAAAAATATTAATTATATAGACAAAATAAAATTACAGCTTCATTAAGTGCTGTGAAGGAGAGTTGCAAGGAACTATGAAAGTATGTAACAAGGAATGGATGTGGTCCGCAGATCAAGGAAGTGATGTCGGAACTGAAATCTGAACAGATAACAAGGTGAAAAGGGTTGGCAAGAGTAGTTCAGGCAGCAGGAAGAACCCAAGCTGGCTTGTGTCAGGAGGAAGCACAGAGAATGCACACAGGCTAGTGTGGCTGGAGCAGAGAAAAAAAGAGGGGAGCAACATGAAGGACATGGGGCCGGGCTTTGTAGGTCATGTTAAGGCATTTTCTTAGAAGTCATCCAAGAGTTTTAAGTGTGGAGTTGGGGTGGCGGGATAAGATGATCTAATTCATGCTATGATGTGAGAATAGTTTTGGGGTAGGGGCACCATGTTTGGGGGCAGTATATGGAGTTAGACCAGTTAAGAGGCTATTACAATAGTCCAGGAGAGAGATGATGGAAGGTTAGATTAGACTGATGGTCAGGGTGATGAAGAGAGATAGATAGAGGGAGTAATTTAGGAAGTAAAAGCAACAGTCCTTGATGATGGGCTGGATTTGGCAGGAAAAGAGGGGGACCATCCAGAATGACTCCTAAATATCTGGCTTGCAAAACTGAACAGGTTGTGGGTGAATGTACCTTTCTCTATGAGGAGGATGTGACAAGGAATCCAGGAAGACTGGTAGGTTGGGGCTTGGTGGGGAATAGGGTAGATAATGAGATCAATTTTGGACATACTGATTTTGAGAGGCTTTTGCGTTATTAAAGAGATGGCAGGGAGATGTCCAGGTGGAGATATCTATTGTGCCACATTAGACATCAAGTGGAGAGAAACATAGCTCAGAAACTTCTTTCATTGATCAGAGGCACTCTTTGTATTGATTCATCAACCTATCATTATATGGGAAATGCTGTCCTATCATTATCTAACGACAAAGGAAATATTTCCTAGATAATCCAGGATACTTAACATAAAGGGCCATTCATTAAATAGATGAAACAGCATAAGCACACCTGTGTTACCTGTACCTTTAGTTTCCAGTATAAAGTCAGGAGGCAGAGGTGTGATGTGTTTCTAAATGCCTTGTTTTTATGTATTTTGCAATTTATGTATGTGCATTATTCCCAATTGTACAAGAAGGCAGTTCCTGGGGGCCGGCCCTGTGGCCGAGTGGTTAGGTTCACACGCTCCACTTTGGCAGCCCAGGGTTTTGCTGGTTCGGATCCAGGGCGCAATATGGTACCGCTCATCAGGCCATGCGGGGGTGGCATCCCACATGTCACAACTGGAAGGACCCACAACTTAAAATATGTAACTATGTAGTGGGGGGCTTTGCGGAGAAAAAGGAAAAATAAAATCTTTACAAAAAAAAAAGAAGGCAGTTCCTTAAATTAAGCACAGCCTAGCCTAAAGCATGGCTCATATTTCCTTTGGTGATATTTTTGACAGATTTCATTGAGAGTCCCTTAAGATTTTTTGGTAGCAATCCATTATTATTGTTGTTGTTTTTCATGATTGCTTTGTATGTAGCTTAATTTAATAATAATTCTCAGATTTACTTCTGAAATCCACCCTCTCTCTTTCTAACCCACTGCAAACCAACTCTGTCCCCTACTCCAAGAGTGAAGTCATTCTCCAGTTCAAAGACTGGCAGAACAGTAGCAATGGCTGCCATTCACTAAGTGATTTTTATTTGCCAGGCATTTTATAAACATTATTTAATTTAATCCTAACAAAGACCCAGTGGGTTAGGTGAATTATGAGACCATGTGTACAACTGAAGAAAAAGAAGCACAAAGATGTTAAATGACTGGCTCACGCAGTAGAAAACTGGTTATATTATCTTGTTATTTCCTTTTCTAGAATTAATTGATTATCCCCTATAGGCATAGGGAAAGACAATCTCTGTACCCATAGGGAGCCAGCCCTTTCTTGGGGTTGGTACTGTGTTCCGTGGTTTTTAACAGCTGGGAGACTATAATTCTATCTGAGAACCAAAAGATTTATTGTGGTGAACTTTGAGGCACATAGTGCATGTGATGAATGTTAGGGGGAGCCACATGCCTACAGGAACCTTCCTCTGTATCAGGCAGTGATATATTCTGATAATACGATTTGTATTCAGCTGCGTCTATGCTTTTTTTTTAACAAGCTGAAGAAGAAAAGAAGCAAAAGGAGCATTTTATTATTGATTCCTTTTTTGCATTGTGCTTAGTGTTGGAAGTTGCAGACGCACTCATCCAGGTGGGTGTCACGTCTTGGTTTGTCATGTATAAGTGAAAACATGAAGGTTTCCTTTTTGGTGAAGATGTAAACGTGAGGCCTCTGGATATCATTGCTCCTTCCAAATGAATACCAAACAAAAAGACCATGGATTCTAAGGGGATCCGATCTTAGCCTCACTGTACAGAAAGTATTCAGAAACTCAGAAACACGTGTCTCATGAAACTAATAAAAGATCACAGAAATGTGGACCCGTTTGCTAAAAACCCTGAGGAAAATTAATGGAGGAAAACGTATATTTTAACTGTAATTCCTCTAGTATATTAACTTTTATGATTTTAAAAATATCATTGACCTTACTTGTCTAAGGTTTAACTATCCAAAATCTAACGTTAGCTATCCAAAAACAAGCTATCCAAAAATTCACTCTATTTGAAATTTCACTTTTAATATAACATTTATTTTGAAATATAAATACCTCTGTGGTAAGTAACAAAATAAATGTAGTTAAATTGATTCCATTATTTTAACTGGGGCAGCAGGAGGGTTACTGACCCAGAGAAAGTCGGAAGAGGAAAGCGAGGATTGTTAAAGACAAACTCTGCCCCTTGGTTTTGCCCGGAGGTGGCCCTCTGTGAACGGCAGTGAACTCTCTTGAGTAACAAGAGCGAAGGGAGCGTCTGACAAGGGAAACACTTTCCAAAGCCCTCATTATCAAACATTTTTCAAAGCCCTCAGTGTGGAAACCAGATAAAATGCCACAAGAAACTCACCGGACTTGGGACTAGGAAGTTTCCTTCCTACTTATTTGAGAAACAGCCCCAGAACAGTAAGAAATTTCTCTTTCTCCCAATGGCACTCCCCCAATGAGGCCTTAATAGTGAAAGATTAGTAAAAAAAAAAAAAAAAAAAAAAAAAGCCATTACACATACATGCTTCTTGATGTTTCCTTATAATAAATATTTTGGAAACAAAGTAAGAATAGAAATTTACTTTTTGATTTTAAAATTGCTTTTTATTTAGTAATTCATCTCAATCAAATTATGGGTTAAATATTGAGAAATAATCTATTCAATTAGATTTATAGAACAAATCTGATTCAGTTTTGGGGGTTCAAATGTGTCTTTTTTGTTCGTGATGTTGGTGTTCCAAATACTGTCTAAAAACAATTAACAGAGAAAGCTGATTGAATAAAATGCATGTTCCTAGAAGAAATAACAAGCTTTAGATTTCTAAATTACAGAGCACACTGCTATTTCTCTGTCGAGCCCATTCAAACTTGTCATACTCTTCACAGTAATCAATGTAGTCATCTTAATACTATACTCTTTTCCAAATTAAGTGCTTAGATTTCATCATCTGCACCACATTGTTGAACAATTGCATTAGCCTTTATTCCCATTTCACACGTATCTGTAAAATGCATTAGGCAGCCATTTGTATGTTTCAAAGAGCCTTGGCATTCCAATTGCCTCTGGGTTGTATCTTACTGGATTCTACCACCTTGGTGTAGGAAATCTAATTTAGCTTTCACTGCTTTGACTGGCCTCTCTTTCTCAATGCTTTTCAATCTTAATTGTTCTTCCTCACCTTTCTGAGATCAAAGTCTATCTCTGCTCTGGTACGATTTCCAATTGCTTTCCAGGGTTATATAGTTTTCTCAATTTTTGAGCCGTGTGTTTCTTATGCAATGCTTGGTGGTTTGCTCGCAATGGTGGTCTAAACCAGAAGGGAAAATAAAGGAAGGTATGAAAAGTTTATATGTCTTACATGTTGATATTATCATCCTTTCTGGTGCCTCTGTGGTGATATGTACGTCAAGAACTCATAAATTCAGGTTGTTGAAATTCCTATAGGCTGACAAAACAACCAAACGTCCTGGTTCTTTGAGGGCGTAATTAAATTGGTTCCAATTTGCCACCTGCAATTAACAGCTAATGAGCCAAAGAATTATACTGCAAGCTTTGACCGAATATCAAAATGATATGAATGTTTTCCTTTAGTTTGCCAGAGACCTTAGTCACTAGGTCATTTATCCAACTCATACCATAAAACCAGGAATTCCTTCTCTCAAATACATATCCAATATGTATTTGGATATTCCAATATGTATTATGTGAAACCTCTTATTGCACATCTCTAGTGACCCAGAGCACATTGCTTTTTGAGATAGCCCATTCCATTTTTGCAGCTTGAATTGTTAGAAAGGTCTTCTTTACATTGACCAAACTGCCACCATCTGATTATACCTTTTGATCCTAATTTTGCACTCTAACTGTACAGAATCAATCTGGTCCCTAGTCTCCAAACTCCAGGTGTTTGAAAGCAGTGTTGATGGACATGCAAATGTTTGGCAATAGGTTATGTGGGTTCCAAGTGTTTCTGTTCTATAGGATTAAACATGC